GGCCGTCGTGTGGTGGACCGCTTGGAGTTAGGTATAGCTGTCTGACGGCGGCTAATAAGCCACAGATGGCCATTCCCGTCTCCCTTGTCTTTGCCGGCAATGTTTGTCCGCCTAAACTACGTGCCACTGTGCGGCTGCTGGTGCAGCTCGAGAGTGAGCACCAAGGCAGAGTAACTTCCGTTAGCCACCGGTGAACATTCGGCAAGGAGTGTATATACCGTTAGATTCTCGCTATCTTGGGTAATGCAATTAACATGCGATCGAGGGCTGAGCAAGTTGGAATTTCGGGCGTGTGGGCTGCGCGGCTAATACTCGCCATAAAAGGATTAGATCAGGGTGCTTAAAGTCTCAATTTAATTAACTGCAGTAAGGAAGTATTCTGCCTTAAAGTTAATTAACGCGGTGAATTTTTCACAAAAAATGTACTAGATATGACACACACACACACACAGTTATTGAGTAATCACATTCCGCCTACTTTGGACCTAATGACGGCAAACAGTTTCTTAGTTGGTGGTATGCGAGATGTCTAAAAAAATTGGAATACCGAAATTGTGAAGGGGTTGGGTTTTGTAAGAAGATGCGATCGTTATAATAAGAATTTTATCCGCATTCGTACGCGAGTCTAGTATCATTAGAAAAACACATATATGGGTAATGTGCGCAGGATACAGTTGGCATGCAATCACATATCGATCGTAATTATAAAATCTCGCATTCATCGCCAATGGGCAAAGATTGCTTGCTCGGCCGTATCACAGTCGTCCATTGTTGCGAAGGCAGAAGAACATTACATACAAAGAATCGGGCGACTGTAATGACCACTCTTAGTTTGGCAGCTGTCATCAGCCAACTATACCCAAACCCCGGGTGTTGCACCATCGGAGGCTTGAACCCAAGATCTATTGAGTAGGAGTCCGACGCTCTAAACACTGAGCTATGGGCTTGTTGTCTTGTCGGTTTCAAGTGGAAATATTCGCATTGGCAAAAAGGCGTCATTCTGCCCAATAATACTAGGTGCTGTGTGGCTGTTTGCGGGGTTCGAGAGTGAGTGCGGTAAGACTGAGTCTTCTAACCGATTGGTGAGCGTCAACCTACCAATTGTCGCAATTTCACCACGATTGTTAAATTATTGCTGTGATAGTGACTCGGTAATTTGACTCCCAGATAGAATCACATGAAGACCTCTGCGGCCGTGCTCTCCTTGTGTGGGCAATTATACTGTTCAGGCAAAGTCTCAGCACCGAATATACAACCCTTGTGCACCTATCACCCTTATCGGAGTTTGTCTCTGAGGATGGTTTCGAGTTGGAATCTGAAACGTCAGGCGAAAAACTCTTCTTACAGCGATTAGACCTTCCTCTTTTCAAATTATTCTTAACACTAATCTTTGGGCCTGTACCGACCTACAGGCAGTTGAAATAGCTACAAAAATCGGATCGACGGGTATGATTCTCCAAACT